GGCTCATAAGTGCCAAAAGAACTCCCTTTCAGAACACTGGATAGATAAGCTAGGAAAGGAATCTTCTCATCAGCCACAGCATCATCTTCAAATGATAAGTCTAAAGAACTGCTTATCTCGTGGAAGCCATTTTCAAGAAACTCAAAAATTGTCTTCACCTGTCAGTTTATTTAATTCAGCATCAGTTTAGTTTTCCTGTCTTCAGCTGCAATGAACATCAACTTTGTAATGATATATGAAGTGCACACCTGATTTGGTTGACGAAGTTGACAGCTGTATACTGATAAAGCATGAGAGATTCGCCCACCAGCATTTCCATAAGCCCAGGCTGTACGAGCACAAATAGGCTGATCTCCAGAAAGCCCCATAAAGAACTCAAAACGGTGTGGACTGTTCTTTTCAATTTCAACTAAGGCTGAGATATCTGTGTCTGCAGCCTGTAACAATGCACATTTCAAGAGAAGTGGAGAACTTTGAAGGATAAATTGTTTTCCATAATTAGGGGTATACTTGCCTGGAGAATTTTGGTTTGCCAAAGCTTGTTAACATGGAAACCACGGCGTTCAAACAAGCGCTTACAAACAGCTTGTCCTGGACGACCGCCCATGTTGAAGATCATTATTCCCATAGGTTTAATGACAGCTATTCCTTCCTCCACTGCCCGAGCAATTAGGCCTAGGCCAAACTGATCCTCAAGAAAACCCTGCAAGAAAATTGTACAAAAAATGACTATTATGGTCTCTAATAATGACCGGAAACTGGAAGAACTAGCAATCGGTTGATCAGTTGCCAGAAAGCCATGGTACATATCATTAGTAAACAGTTTCCATGTAACTAGAAAAACTAATTATGATAATATCTATGTAGCACTGGATGCCTCTTAAGATTCAAACTATTCGATGCATCACACTATCAAGGTTCCGTCCTAACCTGAAGTGCACAATAATTGCTCAATGAATGTAGAAATTCCTCACTTGCGTTCTCTGTAATCATTTTAGACATAGCATCTGGATTTGGGTTAAGAATCTGCAAGAACACATACAAGGAAAATGACTGAGGAGTCGAAATAATTGTTCAAGTGAGGAACCTTCAAAGTGGACATTTGACAAACTAACTTTATCAAATACAAATCCTAAGTCCGGCACTTTAAAATTGTACTGTTGACAATACCTGAGGTATGCATCCAACAATTCGTTCTAGTTGAATGTCATTATCTCTACAATAAGATAGTAGATCCGATTCATGAAACTCTACCCTGTCCAGCAAAGTTTTCTTCTCCGCATCATAAATGGGTTGACCTCTTTCATCCAACGCATTTAAGTACAAGTTTATCCATGACATCTTTACTGCTCTAGGATTGATTTCAAGGCCATACACCTGAAAAGTATAGTTTCTTCATCAGTCAGATAAGCCAAAAAGGTTGAAATGTGAACAGAATATAGACGAATACCATGCATGGTAAGGTCAAACAAACAAACAACAAAACTACCTTCAATGGCAACCACTTCTCAGCAATGGCAATGGATATCCAACCATTTCCACAACCAAGCTCAGCAACTGACTTGTCCTTGAAGATAGAATCGGAATGTCTATTTAGTCCTTCAAAAAAAGTAAAAGACCAGTCTTCTGGAACAAATATACTGGGGATAACCATCATCGTCAATTTCTTCCTACCCTGGTAACCTGCAGTAGCAGTAGCCCAATAACAGGGTCAGACCGACGAGTAAAAGCAAAAAGAACCCAAATGGCACATTACCAATTTTCCGCCAATACGAAAACGATCACAATTTTAGACAAGCACAAAAAGAAAAGGACAGTCAAAAGAAATAAGACAAACAATTGCAGTCAGTCACTGGATAATTCAATTTTCCATATCCTCCATTATCTCAGTAACCAAACAGAATCGATACAGGAAGGAAAAAAACAAAAGGGAGAGAACTGAATGAGAGAGAGAGAGAGAGAAAGAGACCTTCATACTGATCGAAGAAGATATCTTCGATCTGAAAATGGTATGTGCGAAAGCATTGATCGCAGGCCTCCTTGGAGGGGAAGCGGTTCTGGAGGTCCGTGAGGAAGATCCGAGCTTGAGTTCTGGTTTTCGGATCCTCGAGACGCTCCAGCACTGATCTTAAGGCAGCGTACGCGGCATCGCCCGACTGCTTACATTGCTTCAAGAAGTCGTCCACCGATCCCAACGGCGCCTCGTTCTTCGCCATTCACTCACTTACTCTGTCACTCACACAATGAGTCACGCAAGCCAAGCGATGAGGGTTCTGTAACTTCTGTTGTTCTGTATAAGATGAGAGAGAGAGAGAGAGAGAGAGAGAGAGAGAGAGAGAGAGAGAGAAAGAGAGAGAGAGAGAGAATGAGAGAATGCTGGATGAGAGGAGATGGATGGAGGAGAGAGGAATTGGATGGCGGAGAGTGGGATTGGAATTTGGTTGTTTATTGTTATAGCAGGGAGAAGGTTTGTTCGCGGTTTTTTCGTCATGACCTTTTCATTATTTAAAAAAAAAAAATTGTTTTTTTGATCTTTCCAAAACTTCTTAATTTCTTTCGTTATAACAAGATCCCCCTCATGCCTCATGGCCCCTGTTGTTTTATTGACTAAATTAACTTGGCTCTTTAATGAATGATCAATAAATAAAGAAGAGTTTTTTCTTAATTCATTACGAAACTGATTTACGAGATTTCATATTAATAATTTAATAGGATTAGTGCATGATGAATGATTTAGATCATAATATGAAGTTTCGTAATTTGAGCGGGAGGAATTTCTTCTCAATCTTAAGGAGCTAAGCTTTTCTCTTTATTGACATCTCTTTTTACGAATGGTCTGTCTATTTGTAACAATTGATTGATTAAACGATATTAGTTTTAATTGATATTTTTTTGGAAATGACCTTTATAGAGTAATTTATAATATAAATGATTTTGATGATAAACACAAAATTCTGTGAATAGATTACGAAGTATTTTGAGAATAAACTCCTCCTAACCTTAAGGAGCCAAGCACTTCTCTTTTTGTTGAATGTACTTCACTTAAATTCAAAATTTTAATTGAATATAAGAGGCATCTTATCACATATTTGATCAATGACAACTTTAATTCGCTCCCTACGCATCCTCGAGATAACATCAGCAGCGCTAGTGACCCAAAAAACTATGTGCATGGGACTTCAAATCTTATATTAAAGATTTTTATTTTTATAAAGAAACTAGTTGGTGATTTTGTTACAACAGTCACTATTCTAGAGGTCTGGAAGAATCACAAAGGCCTTTCAACCTCTTCATGGTCACCATTGTACGATTTACCAGTGCTAAAAATCAAACCCAAAACGTGTTGTGTAAAATATAGACCTGAAATTCATCTCTAATCATTGAGACATCGCACGATGGTTTGTATTAAAGATTTTAACCTGTACACACTTCTCACTAAACAACATCTGGTTGCGTCAATTAAACAATCCGTGACCTTTCCTTTTGTATAGAATGACATTTTCTTCGCTTTTATTTTGGTTGTATGCATTTTTCACGTTAAAAATAATATGAATAAAACCAAATTAACCAATACTGAAGATGTGCATGTGTCACCTAAATTATATTACTCTTATCAAGGAAAAAAACCCTTTTGTCTCTTTTAAAATCGGGTAATGCTATTTACATTTTTTTTTACTTGTCACACACATTTCTTAATTTGTTACTGTCAAATCAAATGAATTGAAGATGATTAAAAGAAAGAAATTAACAAGAGTGTATGACAAGAAAAAAAAAAGTGCAGATGGCAGACGTATTGTTAGAAGGGTAAAATGCTAAGTTCAAGTAAAAATGTCTGTCAGTAGAGTAGATCAAAATGCGCTAAAGGTTAATTAGATAAGTAAGCTTCCCCTGATAAAAAATTAAAAAAAAAAAAAAAAAAAAGATAAGTAAGCTTCCCACCAGATTATGAATTCAGTACGAGGTGCATAGATACAAATGAGGTCACTGTCACTCTCTGCGTGCATTACTCCAGTACAAAAGCACACATACCATTCCATACCATAACCATACCACCTGCCATCTGCTGCCAAACCAACCCAACCCAATCCAACCAGCCTTGTTTCTTACGCCGCAGCCGCAGCCGACCCTCCCATCACCGTTTATGATAAATATATGATATCAATAAAAGCCTCCACTACAAAAAGCCTCCAATAATTGACTTACTTATGGACTCAAACCAAAACTATAATGGACTAATATGTATTGCATGAGGAGGTTCAGCTCACCTGTAGAATTTGATATCAATAAAAGGTACGATTATGAGCATCCAGGAAAGTAGGGAATTTTCTATGGTGCTCGATGTTTTTTTAAAGTTAGATTCTGGTTACTTATCAACGTCCAACATCTAAAGGTTGAAATACTCCGAAGCACCATAGAATTTTCAGGGGATTTGACAATTTACAGTCAGAAACCTTCTCACTCACTGAATGAGTGAATGAAGAGTTTGGATTTTTGTTGTGGCAATGAAAACTATTTCCCTGCTTACAAATTTGCAAACAGACTGTAAAAGTCCCAAACCCTTTCAAGTTATGACTACGAAAAGTGGGCAAATTCTTAATCCAGTCAATATGATCATCATGAGAAAAAGAAGAACACAGAAGATGTCTTACTAACTTGTATCCAAACATTTTGTGCATAATGCAATGACAAAAAAGGTGAAGTGCTTCTTAGTTTATGTCCCTAATGATCCTTGCTTTACGCCGTGAACAAACAGAACAGACACAAAACCTTCCCGTGTTGTTAAAAAAGGAAACAACCAGTGACACCGTTATAAACGGTAAAGGCTGGTTTTCATTAATTGAACTTAGACATGGCTACTTAGTCAAAAGGCTTGTAATTCATATCTATCTACCATCCAAGAAGGCAAGAACACTCTCAACTCTTCAGTCTTCGTAAGCAATTAGACTCCCAAAGGTTGCATTAGGAACCGTGGCAATGACCACACACATAACATAACCAAATTTAATCATAAGCCTAAAATGAATTTAGCTTAGAAGTAGAATATGCAATTCAAAGGAACATACGAATAGAAACTAAACATAAACTTTAAGCGATGCAACCTTCAAATGTAGACATTCTGGGAGCAGCGACAACATATTAAAACTCTGCGTGAATAAAATTTACAGCCTTCAAGTTTGTTAAGGCCCTCGAACTGAAAACATTTTATTCAAACATCAAGCAGAAAGAGGGCAGAGAAATATAAGAAACGCCACAATTTTTTCCTCCTGCTAAGCACGACCACCCATCTGCAAGATCAGCTAACCATCAACTAAAGAACATAAAAGGACTATACATATTTTTGAAATGCAGGAGAGAAAACAAATACATTGCGTCTCAACTTTAGCTTGTGACCACTAGCTTTATCAGGTCTCAGTTAAAATACCTATACACCATTTCAGCTTTACGTATAAAGAGCTAGTCCAGACTTATTTCACTCAAAGAATATGAACTTTCCATATTAAGGAGTTATGAAGATTCGACTCTTGAAAACCACAAGTCTCAAGATTCACAACCACAAAACTGACAAACCAATGCGGAGAAATCCAAATTAAATTGCAACTAAAAGGAAGCTAAACAAATCGCCCGAGAGATGACAACAACTTTACAGCTGCCCGTTGTTTAGTAATTTGTTTCATTTCATTTCATGTATGTGTACGCATACACTACATAATCATATGTCTGTACTTGTTCCCATTTCCTTGTTCAATTGAAACTCCCACATTACATATATGACCACTTAAAGACTACATCCAGAAAAACAAACAGGAAAAGATTGACATCAATGACTTGAAAAAGATATGTAGGGCAAGAATGAAAATCCAATTGGACCAGGATCCCGCAAATACCTACCTTGTATTCATAATATAAGGACCAATTTGATGTACAAAACAACAATCAAGATGTAAAATTTAAATTTTAGGGTTTATAAATTAGAAATGATTGCCAACAGACAAACATTTTCAGCTGTAACTGCAAACAAACAAAAACCCTAAATGATTAATTGATGTTTGTGCAGAAAATAAATTGAGAAAAGAAAAAGGTTGGATCTTGGAGACTGACCTGACCGCCAGAATTCTTTGTTCAGTGAGTAGCGGAGGTTGAAGAGACAGAATGAGAGTGGGCGTGATGAGAGGAGGAGGAGGAGGGGGAGGGAGCGATGAGGCGGTCGTAGACCTGCTCGCCGACAAGGTAGACGCCGAATGCAACGAGAGCGATGCCGAGGCCGGGAGTGGCGTGGCGGAGCTGATTGGAAAGCATGGGGTGCTTCCTCCACTCGTCCCTCCTCCTGAAGAACTCCCCTGTCGTCCCCAGCGCCTTCTGACTCCCACCCATTTCTTTCTCGATTGATTACTCTTTCTTATTTCTTCTTCTGTTCTAGGCTCTCGGCTATTGGTTGAATGAGAAGAGAATTTCCCTCTTGATTTTCTCGTCGTTTTTGTCATAGAGGACAAAGGGTGGGTAGGGGGTGGGCTTAAAATAGTGAAATACTGGGCCTTGGTACACACCCATTAGTGATTATCAGTCTACCAACCCACCTGCCATATATAAATACACAATAATTCTGTTTCTGGCAAAGGAAAAAAGGAAATATTATGCAAGAAGCGATGAGTGGTGTTTTGTCTCCAGGTTCAGGGAATATACAGACAGAATCCTCCTCATCTGTTTTGTTGAATAAAATAGAGAGTGGGGCTGCAGAGACAGAGGGGCACAAGGAAGGAAGGAAGGAAAGGTGAGGTCAGACGTCTCTGTGGGTTGAGACATGGACGTCCTCAGTCTCAGTATGTCTTCCTCAGCAGCTTTTTCAAATGATAACCTCAGAATCCCACCACTTTCAAAGTCTGCAGCAGGAGGAGGAGGCCTTAGACTTAGACTTGCAGCAGCAGCAGGCATTGGAAATGCAGGCAAAGCTCTTGTCTTTTTCATCTTATTAATAAGTTATTCAATTCAAGTTCAAACATTTCTTTTGTATGCTTAATTGCTTGATAATTAATTAATTAGCTATATGCTTGCCTGCTTCTTTTGTCTCGCAAACAATTCAGTTTCAGGCACAAGGCTAAGGCACCACCTACTCGAATTGCAACATTCACTTGTTTCTCTGCGAGAGTCAATGCAGATGTATAATCATCGTATTTCCCTTCTTTTTTTGTTCAATTATCATTTACAATTATCAGCACTTGTGTAAATGATTTTTTATTTTTTTTGTTTGATGATGCAGAAACCAGAGTCTAGACTAATAGTGAAAGAGAAGAGCGTGTCGGTGATTCTTTTGGCTGGAGGGCAGGGCAAAAGGATGGGGGTTAGTCTTCTTGGATACCATTTTCTCACATCTGTCACATTCCCCATTTTTCATCATCAACCATTCTCCTTCTTCATCTGCATTTGCCTGCATAGTGCATATGAATGGAATAGAATCCCCATCACCTTCATCTATGGATTTTGTCGTGCATTCCCATTCCACCAGTCGATCATGTTTTTTTCCTTATGTTTGTGCAACTAGGCCAGCATGCCAAAGCAATATCTTCCCCTTTTAGGCCAGCCAATTGCATTATACAGGTAATTGACTGACACTTTCTCAGCCAACCCACTTGGGGAAATTTTCTAATTTTTGTACACGACCTACCAAACCAACTACAATGCGTTACTAATCTGAATGCTGAATGTTTATCTGGTTGATTATAATGATGAACATGTACTTTCATGTTGTACCTTTAGAAGGATTTTAAAATGAATGAAGCTTTGTGCTTTAGACTTTGGATGCCAGTTTCAACTTTCTAGACACAGTTACTTTGTTGTGACGGAAACCTGACCTGTTTGTGTCTATACTTCTAGTTGCAATAATTCTTTTCAGACTCCCTCGTGTAGGCTTTTTATTCACGTCTCAGGGAAATATTAATTGACTTTCTACTCTCTTATTTTTCCGGGGGATACAAATCGTATGCTCGTCTGATTGTTATTTCTGACTCCATGCAGCTTCTACACTTTCTCCCAAATGATTGAAGTAAAGGAGATAATTGTAGTTTGTGATCCCTCCTGTAAGGATGTTTTTGAAGGTTAATCCTCGCTCTCTTGCCCCCCTTGTAAATACATTACCTCTTGGCTTGGATGTGTTTTATACACTGGGTGTAGTGATGCACGAGACATTTGAACTAATTTAGTTGGTCATGTATTGTTCTCAGACGCCAAACCTAAGATCCAGAAGGAACTTAAATTCACACTACCAGGGAAGGAAAGACAAGATTCCGTTTACAGTGGACTCCAGGTACACAGAGATTCTTTCTTTTCCTTTGTAAATCAAGAATAAAAAAAAAAAAGTCTCCTTAATCATAAAGTAGTCTCTTTTATTTTGTAAAGCTCTTGGCTCTGCTTTATCTTAAACCTGCTTTATCCCAATGTCTGTTGCATCAGCTTACTTGATACATGAAACTGAGAAGGCTGTCTATTGTTCTTTCCGGGACCATGCTTCTATTGTGAAACTTTGGTTCAATCCTTGAAGTTTGTTGAAGGTTTTCTTCTCATGAGATTGCAACAATATCCACTTTAGTCCCTAAGCCTCAGTGTTAGAAATGTGAGATTAATATGGGTAGCCCCAAGCCTGAATTTAACTTTTTCAGGCTTTGAAATTCTTCTTCAAGACGAGCCAAAAAAATTCTTGTATGTAACAAAACTCTCCGGAGTGATAGTGCCATTGGACCAAATCTCTGGAGTGATAGTGCCATTGGACCTATTCTCAATTTTTTAGTTTGAAGTTTGTTCGTCGTTTTTGTGAACAGATATTTGTACTCGTCTTGCACATTGTAGCCGACTGGTAACGAGATAAAAGTCAATGATTTATTCTTATTGATATTTGAAATCTCATTGATATCTACAGATGATTTGGTTTTTTTTATTTGTTATTCTTAAATGTGATATATAACGATTATTGGGAAGCATAAACTAATCTGCTTATCATAGTATACAACTTTGTGGACAGGCAATTGATTTGACATCTGAGCTTGTTTGTATTCATGATTCTGCTAGACCTCTGGTATCATCAGGAGATGTAGAGAAGGTTTGAGATGCAGATTTCTTTCCCTGCCCACATCTAGTGCATCGGCTTTTATTGTCTCTTACAATATGTACTTAATAGAACACCTCTCATCGTCATTAGGTAGTGTACTATGTTCTTATACGTTCCTTTTGGATTATGGTTTAGGCAGGTATACTATAGACCAGTGCTACCAATTGAGTTCAATATGGAAAAGAACGCATATGAAATATGTCGCACTTGGGAATCCAGAAGTGCGTTTCACCAAGAGTATATCGTTTGGTCTAGAGCAGTGCTACTTATTGAAATACATCAGTGTCTGAAACTAAATAGTTCGTCATGGTTGGCTGTTTCCTTACACATTCTGAGTGTTGGTGTCAATATGTCCAGTCGTAGTTGGTCTCTCTCTCAAAAATAAATAAAGAAGAACAAAAGAAATGGAAATTTTTTATGTGGGTTCTAGTTGCTAGATTTAGGCATTTATATATAGGGTAAAACATTTAAATTATGCACGGTTGTTTATCTGTTTGTATTCTTAAGTTGGACGCTTCCGGTAGCTATTTAAGAATGATCAGAGTTGGAACTGTATGCTTTTAGGTTCTCAAAGATGGTTGCTTAAATGGTGCAGCTGTACTTGGTGTTCCAGTAAAAGCTACAATCAAAGAGGTACTACCTTCAGTTTAGTAATATTTATGCTAAAGCTGTGTCCGTTTAGTATCTCCTTGGTTTCTTTTCATTGAAACTCATTCAATAGGTATCTTGAAGCTCCTAGTTTTCACACTTTCCTGTAGTTTAGTTGCATCAAAGGATATTATGCTTTGTTTTTCTCAGTAGTTCAATTCCACACTTGACACATGACATAGAACTTACAGAAGATTCTTTCAAATAGGGGTAGTTTTCTGTTCCCATCTTCTCTCACAATGTTACGATGTTCCACTCTTCGGTGGTTTAACACCATTACTTGACTTTGAAATTGTCTTCCTTGACTCTAGGATGGCCATTACTTCATGACCACAGAAATAATATTGTCTAAAATTCAGAAAGCGCACATTGGAAGTGTATGGAATTGCAATCTTAATTCGGGGTAGCAGAACCTTTTGTTTTATTGTTGCTTTCCAGTCTAACCACACTTTGCTAGACCAACTAGCAATTCGCCCTGTCAATGCTCCAGTGTCCAAATAACAAGACTTCCGTCCATGAAACTCCTTTTGTCAAAGGATTTTTTTTTTTTTTTTTTGTACTTTTGTCTATGGATTAGTTTGATCCAAAACTTGATAAGCTTATCCGTGTGCTTTATTTTTCTTTTCCATTTTTATATGCAGGCAAACAGTGAATCTTATGTAGTCAAAACCCTTGACAGGAGAACACTTTGGGAAATGCAGACACCCCAGGTTTGCTGCTTAACTTAGATCTCTTAGTTGATCAGTTAAAGACATTTTAACTTTGAATGCCGATCAATTCCTGCAGGTCATCAAAACTCAGTTGCTTAAAGAGGGTTTTGAGCTTGTCAATAGGTACTAACTAATTCATGCTGCACAATTTAGTTGTATAATAAAGGTCGTACCCAGTGCACAAGGCTCCCGCTTTACGCAGGGTCTGGGAGAGGTGAATGTCGGCTAGCCTTACCCCCATTTACGCAGGTTTATTATACAATTTAGTTGTATAATGATTGTTAAAAAATGCATAACTACTGTACGAGTCCATGTTGATGAATGTCGAGGCACTGAGCAGACCAAAGCGTTTCCTTGAGAGGCTGATTCTTGTTATGGATTTTGTTGAGAGAATCAATCCCACATCAGGAGAAAGAAGGGACCTGCATATTCTTATAAATGATTGAGCCTCAACTTTCATCAATATTGCGAATTGGTTTTATGGTGAAACCTCAACTTTCATCAATTTTCAATTTTCAACTTCAATTTTCCAGTGAATGGGAAACGTACGAGTGAAACATAATATTTTGTTGGTCATCTATAGGTTTCTCTATCGTTTACTTTTTTCATGTGGGCTCGTAATTGTAATTATATCTGTTGTTTGATCTTAAATATTATTGGTATACAAATTCTGAACATATTGTACTTTCCACAGGGGAAGGCCTTGAAGTGACGGACGACGTGTCTATTGTGGAGCACCTTCAGCATCCGGTGTACATCACCGAAGGATCTTATACCAACATTAAGGTAGTGAAACATCCTAACTGAAGCTTGATTCTTTACTGTAAACCAATATTAAGCAGTCCAGTGCCAGTCTCTGACGTAAACGTTTCTCAGTGTATTTGGAAATTCAATCTCTATAACGTAACACATAATATCAAAGGATGTGATTCATTAAATTACAAACAATGTGGTGGTGTTTTGCAGGTGACAACGCCGGATGATTTATTACTCGCGGAAAGAATGTTAAGTATGAGCTCGGGAAAGTCTTCTTCTGAATAGCCGTCTCTCTGTATGCTGATTTTGTGCCAGTGCTTGTATTTTCGTTCTTCTTTCCTTTGTGTAGACGAAACTAAAGCCGAAAAATCATTTAAATCCAAATTTTTTTGTTAAAGGGGATGTGATTTTGTGCAAGTGCTTGTAGTTTTGTGGTTGTTCTAATAGAAATTATCATATTTATATGAGTTGAAATTAATTGTGTAGAAATTGTGAGAAGATACTGTGATTAATGGAGACTAAGGAGCTTGTCATGTTTCACCTGAACATGCTTTTGAGTGTGTGATTCCTGATTAGAAGCTGAATATCATTCGTAATTAAACCAAAACTGAACTTGAAAATAACTGTGTGGTAAGGGACCTCTGCATCAGAGATTGAATCTCTTTTTGTTTGAGATTAATTTAGAGCAAATTATTACTAATATAAAATAAAAATAAAAGTCCTAACCAAACAAAATAAAAATAACTAAATAGTTTTCGGTTACAAAAAAGAAAATATTTGACAATTATTTTATCCACCATCAATTATTATTTTGGTCATTTCATGACAAATCTCTATTAGATAAGGAGAAAATAACAAAAATATCCTCAATTTTTGTCATTTTGATTCTCATTTAATATCGATTTTTCACAAAATGACCTAAATAATTGTTGATGACAAACTCAAAACCAACTCTATCGATTTTAAATATCAAAAACTAAAGTGAAGAGTTAGGCTAATTTGAGAGACCATTTTGACTAAAAAAAGCTAACCTAATATGTATTCTAACAAGGTTGAATCAATTGAGCAAGATTTCGCAGCCATGTTGTTACATTGAAGGCCAAGTTAATAAAATGAAATTCCAATCACGTATCCAATACATTTTTGAATGAACGGCTGTCGGGATTTACATGTTTAAGATGAAACCATCATATCTCAAGGTTTACTTGCACCATCCCAAGCACAACATTCAGACGCAAAAGCAATGAACCTGAAGAACCTCGGAAAACCTACCTGAGCTCATCAAGGCTGGAAAATCAGTTAACATGAAAGATACCAATTCAAGGTTTTACCATTTTTATTTGTATTCAGACCACGTGAAAATTGAATGGAGATGCATAACGCGGCTTTACCGCAAAGCTTTACATCATCTGTTTTACTTCTCTTTCTCACATCCTCAGAAGAATGCCTCGCTCAAGCACTACTGGAGCACAGAAATTACACGAGGAAAAAAAATATGTAACCAGCCAAATGAGCAGCTGCACAGCCACCACTCCCGACGTCCAACTACAGATTTCATTTTCACCTTGTATTATGTTTGCTCTCTGTTTTCCTTGACTTCTTCCCACACTCCCCAAACAATGAATACCGTCTGCCTTTGCATGCCTGAACAGCCGTCCCCCCTTTTATCTGTTTACATAGACACATAAATATGCAGGGAGGTTCTTTTCAGGTCAAACAGGGTTTCCAGAATCAAATCACAAATATCTAAAGAAAATTGTAATAACAGCCTACCTTTCCTCTTTTACGAGGTTTAGTCTTATAACAATGGAAAAATCCACTACAACCTCCTCCTTTACCTGATCCCGATTCATCACCCCTAAACAAATACCAAGAATGAGAATGTGGTATACATTATTTATAAATGCAGACAACAAAATTTGAGCAAAAGAAAAGAATACCACTACATGAAATAATGCATTTCAATAGGCAGATTAAAAAGACAATTAAAATATATAGAAGAGCAACAAAAGTGATATCCATTGAAATTGCAGTTCCCCTGTTTACTGAATGAAAATAGAGCATCAAATTGAGATTCTGTTTTCTAATCCAATTTGGTGCCTAAGGAAGAATTTCAGCATTCAGTCAATTCAATGTGTTCAATGCCATTTCTTCCTAGTGGAAATTCCATATAACAATGTAAAAGCCAGCGTTTGCAGTTTAAGCTAATTTAGCGCCCATATCCTAAATTATTACGACATCAGTAGCTACTAACTGTGTTCCATGATCACTCGAATATGCATTGTTCTATGATCACCAGAATATGTAGTATTTATATCTTAGAATACTTATCAATGCGGATGCAAGCTAAGCTTTCACTAAATTCAAGCAGCATATTTTGTTCACCATATATCTGTAACTATTGGTTTTTTCAGTCAAGTAGGGAGCAGAAAAGAGCTTAATCAAAATACTCCAGTAAAAAGAAGTAAAATACTCACTGGTTATCTTTGTTGGAATTTCCCACAAAGTTACTATCATGTAGTAAACTTGGGGACATAGGATAACGGTCAACCCTTCTACCTAACGGGTCCTTCGGGATGTCCCTTCCACTATTAACCTTCAAAATTTTGACTTCAGGGTTTAATCCATCTTCCCCATGCTGAGAGGACAACCTCATTGAATTCAATGACTCCATCTGATCTTCATAATAAGTGCCATCCTGCGGCAGGACCTGATTCTTCTCAGGTTTCAAATGACTCAAAGAACCAGGAGTGCCTTTCTCTGCCACCTGTAGCCATGCAGTCTCTAACCTTTGGTCGCGAATAATGGATTCTATCCTTTGCATTGGAATCTCCTGTCTGCTCTCTCTTGTAACACTTGCTTGGCCATTGCCTTCGGCGATCACGTCTGATGAATCAGAAGTGGACTTGTGGGTCTCATCAAGAAACAAAGAGCAATTTGAGTAACCATCTGTGGCATTTGATCCGACTCTTTTCCTTTCCCTAAGAATTGCCGCCACGGTTCCTGGTAAGTGAACTGGACTTGGACCATTTAGAGAAGCCTCTCCACCTGGCAAGTGAACAATTCTAACCTCTACATTGCGTCTGAGAACCACTTCCATTGAATTAGTGATACTGCTCACAAACCTTTCTACCCTAGATTTGATACTTCCATCTTCAAACGTGACATAAGCAACCAGAACACCTGAACAAAACAAAAAAATCCGTTTAAACAAGGAAAGAAAGGGAAAAGAACATATACATTTATAGAGAAAGCACACGCAAGGCTTCTTGTTGTGAAGGACTTGTAAACAAGGAAAGAAAGGGAAAAGAACATATACATTTATAGAGAAAGCACACGCAAGGCTTCTTGTTGTGAAGGACTTCTTGAGCTTAACTATCAAAACCTAGCCAATTAAATAATACTTTTTGTAATGCTCAGACTACTATATTCTTTCTTTTATATTCCCCCAACACCTAGTTATTAACAAAGCTCAGAGTTAATTGTCAACTAGCCCACCATTGTCCTAACATTTCTGCCATTAGTTTAAACCTATATATTAAAATGGGGTATTTCGGGGCAAAACTGGTAGTTTTTCCATCAACCAATCTTAACTGAAACATGCACAATCAGCATACGCTCCATAAGTTCATCATGTGGGGCAGGTCTCAAAAATTGATATGTTTGGCTCGTAAACTAGGACCTGAAATCAGCTTCACATCAGTATCTTGTATCAAGTGCAAGCATGAGATCCTATGTTTGTTCACTGTGAACTTCAGTGAACAAACTGAATGGGAATTATGGGAAAGTGAAATGGTATGACCACCTGACTTGTATTCTTCTTCCTCCCCCACAACTTCCCCCCATTTCTTTTTATGTAAATAAAACAAGTAAATCCTGCTCTAGCACGAAGCAATACACCAGTGTCACAGTAAAATTATGCACAAATAACCATCGGTTCCACAAGAATGCTATTTAGACACCACAACCAACATCTTTGCATTATGTATACGCACAGTTTCCCCAATTGACACAAAATCACAGCAGAAACTTCTATAGAAAGGTCCATATCATTTAGTACACTGTATTTTAAAAAGCAAAGATGAATGAAGTGTATAAAGAGATTAAGAGATGACCTTCAGCTTCAGATATAGACACTAGTTTTCCGTGAGAGTGTAGTAGTTGCCTCAGTGTCTTTGAATGGCATCTCTCAATACACTGTGCCCAGACATCCTCCAACTTCTCAGAGTTAGCACATCTGAGGATTGCATTTCCAGCTGTAACATCATCATGCAAGGGAGTTGAGGCACCACTGTCCGTGAAATGGCCATGCAAGGGCTTGGCATCGTTATTTCGCGACAATGAATCTCCCTGATGGTTGGAATTTCCATTTAGTGCTTTTTGAACAGAAGCATGGGAAATTGATTTATGAAGCATATATTGGGCATTCGACTTCTGTTTGTAGGTGGCAGCTTCTCTTGAAGCACTGGACGAATCATCCTCAGTAGTCTTACTGCTGTGCCTCCTGCTGCATGAGCGAGTAAGGTCTGGAGAAGGCACTGAACCAAGCTGTAATAGAGTCGCTGTAAACCATGTTGAGCGCTCACTTGAAACCCTAAGCTGTTTTTCAGCCTCTGAAAGAATCTTCAAAGCATGTTTTAGTCTCTCCAGTTCTGCTTCGGCCACTGAAGTATGGAAGCCAACCATAATTAGAATAACTAAAATTAAACATAAAATTACAAGAGTTTTACTGTACAAAATATACAGTTTCATATAACGCAACAACAATTCATTCAAAATAATAAACGGTCAGTGGAGATTTTTTATGTGACTCCAGGATTGATAATGTTATTGTTTTCTATAAAGTATACTAGCTAGTATTAGTCTACATAGATAAGAATTTTTCAAAATAAAACTTCAAGAGAACTTAAAGTGTTCCTATAGATGAAACACCATCCGGACATGCACTAACAGCACCATACATCTACGAAAAACTTGGTTATGGTGAGGAGATGGCCATCCAATCAATCCTTAAATATATTTTAAGAAAACAGATAGATCATGGCACCAACCACATATAGGGAAGATGTGAGTTGCTTGAATCCATTTTTATTTTAGTTTTTATAAAGAAACGATTGTCATGAAGAAGAAAAAACCAGAAAATACAGAAAGGGTGGACAAGCAGACCTAATTTGTGTTATCTAGCTAACTGCGGTACTATCTCCACATCACACTCCAACTGGTTCAATAGTACAAACAACTTTATAGGCATTGAAAACTAAGGGGATGCACTCACAATTGCGGTCACCAAAGAATGAATCATGTTTGATATCATTGATATTGTAGGTTCCAGCAATGATGTCCATGATTAGGCTGGCCAACTGAGACATCAAAACCATGGGATCTACCCCGGAGTCCATCAACTCTCTGGCCCTTTTCACTGTTTCTGCAGTGTCTGATGACATTGCTAATTCCAAAAGTTCCAGTAGCTTTTCATCAGAA